GGTGGAAGTCATATATATACATAATTATAGAAAATTAAAATTTTAAAATTACCCCATCCTCGCCTTCCAACATCTCTTCGCTTTCTTCAACAGTTTGAACACCTTCCCGGACGGTTCCAGTGGTTGCAGGAGGGCCCATACATTCCCCACCACTTCCTTCCTGTGCAGTCGCTTCAGCTTCATCGGCAGCTCCACTCACTGTAATTGTTGGTAGTTCAACTAAAATGAAAATTTAGAAAATGCAAGAAACAAAATGGAGAAATATTTTAATAAAAGCTATTTTCAATGTTTTTTAAAAATCACCTATAGGAGCTGCTTCTTGGGGCGAAGCTTGTAAAGGTGTACTCGGAACACTTCTTCCGGTACTATTATCATCGGTGTTGGAGAATTCTAATGTTTGTTCAGGAATAATTTCGGTCGAACTAGAATTACTTGGCGGGGCTGATTCGCTGAAAGTGAATCGACCACTTGTTGGCACATGGGGTGAACTGACTGCTTCACCAAAACCATCGGATCTCCTAGGCACGAACAGAGTAGGAGTCGAAGGAACTATACCTAAAGAGTTTGAAAATTATACTTGCTCTGAAAGCGGCTTTGCAAATATTATTAAATATATTTGCTAAATTTAATTAACTTGTTTACAATAAAACATACCGTCATCCCCTCCTTCTTCAAGTCCATGAGGCAGTAATAAATGAGACTGCTGTTGTTGTCTTGAAAGTGGAGCTACAGGCCGTGTTCGCGAAAGTGCAGACATAGCAACTGAGATTGATGGGGATGCCTGCGACAGAATAATACCCGATGTCCCCCCTGTTGTGTAAAAATTTGTAGTGAGACTGTAATGTTTCTCTATCATTATTTTACAAAAAATAAATAGCAAATTATACATTTTTAGTAGTCCTTTGTTTTGTATTTTTAAAACAACTGCCACTGTCATTATTCAGCACAGTCAAAAATATTTTACAAATACTATAAATGTTTATTCACATGTAAAAGGTAACATTATCAAAGCAATCAACATTTTTTAAGATCAATTAATCTTTGAATGGAATTGTGATCGTTTTACTCATTTTTCTACTTAAGATCAATTAAAATTTTTATTGGTTTCATTACTACTTTTCGCTACAATATTTATAAAGTAGTAAGGAAGCTGAGAAATTATGAAAAAAATATATTTGGAAAATATTATCTTTAACATTTGCCAAGAAAATTAAAATCATTTTTAATTTTATGAAAATATATTTATGATAAAATGTTTAACATTGTTGAGGTACAAATGTCATTAATTAAAACTATCAATAACTATCTCCTTTTAAATAACTTTTATCACAATAATAAAAATTCAAATAAATTACTTGGAAAAATGTTTCTCACAATTATTTAATAAGTGAGTGAAATAGAAAATTACCGTAAAAAGTAATGAAGCATTAATAAACAATTAAAAAGTAAATTATCATTTACGAACCGTCAGCCCCACTACTGGTTGCTTCTGACTGGACTTGTTCAGAATTTTCTTCTTGTGGAGAGACTGCCTCTTGCATTGAATGTTCACTTTGATTCGGAACTTCGCTTGAATCATCTATGACTTCAACTTCATTTTCCCTTTCTTCCTCCTCTTCTATTTCTTGGCAATCGGCATCTTCATAATTTAACTCCTGTTCCTGAAAGATTGTAATAAGTATTTTAATTTTTGAAGTGAAATTTCTTAGATCGTAATAAAACGTAAAGACAACAAATTTCATCACGCCGCAGAAATTATAAAGACGGCTACATTCTGCAAAATTCGTAATACACTTTTTGATACATTTTATTATCTTTACCCATACTTTTCTATTCAACGAATTAATAACAACAGAAGTTGAAATGAATTAAGGAAATATAGACCATAATAGTATATTATGTACCAAGGGAAGGAAGCAGACTATTACAGACCAAGTGTGAATTGCGATCCGAGCCGCCTGACACTTCGGCTATTTGTTTATTTGATTGAGCGTCTATGTTAGTTGACAATTGTCAAACCAATCAGCTGTTAGAGTACAGTGTCGCTAACTCAATTTTTAGAGCTTGAATAGGTATTAGAAATAGATATACGTGAATTAGTCAGTGTATTTTTAAAAATATAAGATAAAAAGAAATTAAGACAAAATATAATGAAAAATAATAGAAACCAATTTATTAGAATAAAAAATNTTGTAAAATAACTCAAATGTTTACAAAAGAATACGAATTTGTAAGAATTTTTGTTAGATATATTTAAATATACATTAGACTCAAAATTGAAAAATGAATGGTTTGTATTAAAAATAAAGAAACAAAGATATTGATAAAAGTTTAAAAATTATAATTTCTGCTTATAATTTTGGCAAGCTTCAAAATTATGTCACGTCTGACAACACTTCTTACACGATGGCAGTAATATTTGTTAAAACGCATGCTTATGTATCGCACGCATGCTTTTAAATTAAAATTTCTGCCTATACGCATGGAAAAGAGCTACTTTCGTTTATGTATATAAGATAGGAAAATCGAACTTTCTGCAGTAGTACGATAAAAATATAATTTAACAAGATTCTTGTTTGGGTAAAAAAAATAAAATAAAAAGTTTTTGTCCTGTAAATTATGTTTGGAAAGCATTATTATTATCATTTAGAAAAAAGGAACAGATCGATACACAAATTCTGGTACACTTTTTGAATTTTAGTAATTGGAATGTCTGAGTAGAATAAGACATACATACATTAGCTCAAGTAACTAGGTTTACGATTAGAGTGTTTATAAGCAATTGAATCTATTCTTTAGCCTGCGTGATGCCAAATGACATCGTAACAACATTGCAATGCTTTATGAAGATTTTTAACAGTCTTACCGTATCCATAAAACCATCAGTGTCAGCATCATCTGGCTCTTCTTCGCCTTCTCCTTCATCCGGTCCTTCACCTTCTTCGTCGCTTTCCACAACTATTACCGCATCATTATCCTCTTCGTGGTCCCTCTGGCTGCTAGTTGGTACCTGGTACTCTACCTCAACACCGCTGTCACTCACTTGTGACTGTTGCGACTGGAAATTTTCAGTTCCTGTCTATAATAACATAAAAATGCATTTGTACAGACAATTACTTTCTTTCCATAAGATACGAAATTTAAAAAAAAAAAATAATCACTGACTATTACATGTTTCTGTAATTTAATTTATACTAACCTGTATTCGACTGCGTTTTAATTGTTGTGGTGTTTTGCCTTGTTCCTCAGCTTGGCAACCAGTTTCAGTGTCAGCTTCGCGTGGTCTCTTTAGACTAGCCTGGGTCGTCGTAACCGTATTCGAACTACTACTGCTACTTGTGCCAGACTCCTGAGTTAAATTGTTACTGGGGGGTTCGATACGAGGTAAAACCAGTGCTACTGCTTGTTGTTGAGGTGCCGGCTGAACCTTTAAAAAAAGACAGAATGCAACGTCAATAGGTTATCAACAGTAAACATGCGGCTAATCTGTAAGATTCGGCAGTTTAGAATGAGACTAGGAAACTACGAAAGCAACGTTTTTATTAGCAGCTAACTAAACGTTATAAGTAAACATTGAATATAATTTGAATTGAAACAGTTAGTTATTGAGTTATTTTTTTAAGTTTTTATGTCATATACATTAATATAATAAGAAGAATTAACTCATATTAATCTTCCTCTTTTGAACATTTTATAATATTACAAGAAAAAATGATAAACTTGAATAATATTGTCAGTGTCAACATGATTAATATCTTTACTGACTCTCTAGATAAGACCCTTTGGGGCGATGGTCTTTTAGCCCCATATGGTTGATATCAATCTGAGCAGTTGAAAACCGAAACCTTCTTCATGGACAGGCGATGGAAGGCTATCAGACCTTCTAACCGTTATGACGAGCTTTAGCGGCACTAACGGGAAAACTACATTTACTTTTAATATATACATATATTAACTAGTTGGTAGGCAGTGCGAATTATTCGCACGTTGTTTTTTTTTTAATTCATTGATTGATTTAACAGTTTGCTTAATTTAGTTTTTTGTCTTTTTAATTTTTTCAAGTGGCATTGCCGAATCCCTGGCATCCCGAAACCCAAATATGTCTAATAATTTTTCAATATTATTCAATTAAGACTATAAATCCCGTCACTGTTTCTTTTAACATTGATATTGAAATATCGACCGATTATTCCGAATTTGAAATCTCAAAGCTATTTTCTTGTTTATTCTAATTTTATACGATGTTCATTTTCAAATAATATCGTTTACTCGTTTATAGATGTTTCTTCAAGTTCTCCTTCTTTGCTTAAAACTATATCCCGACTAATCTTTATTCGCCTGTATGTAAATATAATAACTTATACGTTTTTGATTCTTCCGAATATCCCATAAATATTAAATTTTGAGTCTTTTTATTAAATTTATCACCGTGATGTTCTTTTGGAATATGACTGTGAACCTTACTTCCAAAAACATGTAAATCCGAAATATTTGGTATTTTGTTGTACCATAATTCCAACGGTGTTTGCGTTTTTGCTCTTGTAGCTCTAACGCTCTAACCTATTCTGTAAATAGCCGTTATAATCGCATCACCCCAAAATTTGTTTGGTAAGTCTGTATTTAAATCAATTTTATTTTTTTTAACTGATTTTCCATTAATTCAATAAATTCCTTTATAAATTTGTCTGCCTTGGAGCAACCTTTCTTGCGTACTTCGATGAAAATTTTCAATAGCGTCGAATTCGTTCTGTTTCTGTCGATTTTCAGTAACATTTGACTTGTTAGGATTATTGGCAGCCGATGGAGAGCTTTCCAACGATATATCGTTTAAGGTTATTCGCGGTGGGTGAAACTTCCAAAATTGTAGAATATTCGATTGAATTCTCTAAAACTTCACCTTCTTTCTCTTCTATCCTCTATCTTATTTAATCCTCTTCTATACCAAATGTCGTGTAACACCTTCCGCACTATTAATTTATTTAACTAATTACTCATCAACACCAATATTATTAATTAATGACTAATATTGCTTCTTCACTCATATTTCGCCTTTATTGCTTCGTAACTGAAACTAAACTGTTTAGTACAACCTAGCAGCAACCATTTATAGAGGCTAAAAAGTTTAGTAAATGTAGATTCTAGAAATTCTGATTTTTGTTATTTGTACAATCTAGGCAACTCACTACAGGCTGCTTAACGCTTCTTCACGTATGGTGGGCTGCCTACACGTGACAATATATAGTTGTACCAGTTAATAACTTTAAACGTTTTACATTAGCCGAAACGTTGCAAACAAATATAATTATATTAATAAAATTTGGTAATTTTTATTGTTGCAGCAAAACCATTATCCAATGCACCTCTATTACAAACTACACTATCACTTTTTACTTTGATAGAGGTACGTCATAAAGTACTATCAAGTAGATAGTAATTTCCACTAGTTCATTTGTACTACACGGAAAGATTTAGTGCGGGAATAGTGAATAGTAACAGAGTACGGATACTTTCCGAATTACATAGCGGATACGCATAACGAATACTTATATCCGAATACTGACGTATTTGAATACTACCCAACTCTGAAAAGTTTTACTTCAAAAATAACTGAAATGGATGTAATAAAAAACAATCAAACTGTCAACCTGAATGCCTCCATCTTCGTCTTCAGCATCTTGAGAAGATTGTGTAGGAGGTACAGCAACTTGTCTAGGTCCTACCACAGCGGCTGAACTGGTAGCTGGCATGTATTCTGTATGGGAACTAGTGGGACTACTTGACATTGCTTCTACAGTACCAGGACCAGTTGTGTGAACCTAGAAATGAGTTGGTTTCAAATATTCGTCTCTTTAATCTTCAGAGTTCATTTAAATTTTTTGAGTTAAAAATAATGCGACATTAGATAAATAATTTTAACGTTAATAAAACAAATAAGACACAGTTATGTCCCTGAACCTATGTGCTTGAGATGTTACCGTGAGAACGACGGATTTCGTATTTTACTGATTATGTATTTTTACGATCAGTACTTATTGCATCTTTCTAATATGTAATAATAAAATTGTCACTTCTTATTAGTTTCCAGATTAGAGAAGTCGCTTGCTTCAACTTTAAGCCTTTCTGCAGTTAATTAATAAAATAATTGTTTTTAAAAATAAATTTTCATTAATTGAAAAAATAATTACACAAAGCTTCTAATTTCACAAATATTCTCTAATAATAATTGAAAAAGTGAAAAGTGTGCTGTGAAAATAAAAACCGTAGAACGTGTGGAAACATGTTTAAGAGAAACATTTAATTTGACAGCTTTTATTCCAAATGTATTCCAAAATATACTGGTTTGGAAAACAACTTGCGTTTAAGCACTACACAAATCGAACCAGAAAATCTATACGATACCAGTCGTACGACACAGCGGCAGGCGACACTATGTTTGAACAAGTCATTTCATACCGACTTAAAATCATAATAATAATAGTTTCTTCTCCCTACTACACTACACAGCTATGAACGTCAGCTGCTACAGTAGCGGTGGAGTTAAAGGTGACAGCATACGAAAGTGATCAGAAAAAAATACTGATCGAGTGATTTCATACCATGCCAATATTTTTAATTTTTCAGATCGTTTCCAACTAGAAAATAACAACTGTCTTGAAGTGGAGGGATTATATATGGTGTATGATCGTAATTTTTTAGCTAAAAATGTATTTCATAACATATTTTTTTACAGCTGAATCTTCATACTTATACAAAAATATAAACAATCGTCCGCTGTATTTTTAATTAGGCTAAAACCGTCAGTCAGCGACAAACATGCTGCGCGCTCAGTCAATTTAAGCGTTGCATAATTACTTTTGCAAATAAACTGACGATCTTTACACCAACAAACATTTATCTGACGATGAGTTTAATTTTTACTATTAATAGAATTACAAACTTCCCAGTATATAGCGAAGTTATTGTAATGGGTCCGATCATAAAAATCGCGGTTTTTAACATATTGTTACATATTTAGATACTTTTTTGCACTGTTACTACTTTTATTTAACCATTTTCTGTTTAAATTATACTTCAATTCCATGTCCTTGAAGAAGGTCCAATCCAATGATGTCGGTCACCAATACCCAACTATATAAGATCGCATTTTCAATTTTAATTTCGACGTTGCATTCTTTACGGATTGGTGAAGTTTCCCCAGTAGCTGTAGTCAAAATCGGTCTTCTGGCCAAAGGTCGAATTCGTCATTTCGATATCACATTAAGGCAAACGATAGTGTTGGATGCCCCAGCATCGATAACCGTTCTAGCATTGGGCTGATCTATAAATAATGAGTTAGCGTCGTCCAGTCTTGAAATGATGACTTCTTCGGGGGCTTGGTGAGGGTAAGCCAACTTGCGCCCCATAATGTTGGCTGACATTAACTTTCCGACTGCCGTGTTTTGTTTGAAGGGCACTCTCGACTGATGTGCTCCATTTTTCTGTAATTCCAGCACTTCAGACGATCACTGTAGTTCTAGTAATCTCGAGTAAAATGACCCATTCTTCCACATTCCATTTTTGATTCCATTCCCCCGTGTTTCTAGCAGTGGCTTTCTTGACATTGATTACGCATTCCCTGATTCCCCACATTTCGTAATTGTCTGGTCGTCAATTTCTACTTGTCGCGCTCGTGCATGATCCATGGAGGCTTGTACTGCCGCTTCAAACTCCAGGGCGTGTGACAGTGCTTCACTTGGAGTATTGTGTTGTGCTAATCGTAGGACTTGGTGTAGTTCGGCGCCCCTGATTCCATTGATAAATGTTTGTTCTGCTAGTTGGACTATGAATTGTTGAGGGACAGAGAGGTAGGCTAATCTCACGGGGTGCTCCATATTGGACTCAAATTGAGTCTCGTTACTTTTTTGGTTACTGCTCTTCAATTGGATCTGATGTACCTGCCGTAGATGTTTATCGGCGTACCTCATTTCTAGGCGGTTGACACGATGGTGGAAGTCATATGGTCATGTGGGCACTTGGGCATTTCTTGGAGTATATCCAACGCCTCTCCTCGTAAATAAATTATAAGTGCTGTTGCTTTATCTGAATCATTCCAGGAATTTGCCTCTGCAAATTGCTTCAGGTAAACAGACTACGAGATCTTTACATCATAAGTTGCAGGTGGAATTTTTGATGGCTTTGCACCAGGATCTTCAGGTCTTGAAGTAGAGGGTAGTCTTAGCCTTCAATTTCTTCTCTCATTTCTCTTATTTCTTCGCTCATTTTTTCCATCTTCTTTTTCATTATGATTTCCATTTTTTTCTATCTTCTTTAGTATTTATTGCTTCTTGCCAAGTTTTCTCGCAGCCGATGAAAATTTCTAGAAAGTTAGATGAACGCTCTGAAATATTCGATGGAATTTTTCAAAATTCTCATTCTTTTCCAACTCTTTTCAAATTCAATTCTCTTGTGTGTGTGTGGGCGTGCGCGCGCGCGCGCTGTATATATACTGTATATCTGTACTAACAGTTGGTGATTTGAGTCAGTTGCCTCCTGTACTGGAAAGTTATTCGTGTGAACCTAAAGGGTGGTACCAGTGATGCGACACACAGAGATAAAACCTACCCCACGACTTGTATTATATTTTAATTTCAGATAGTATTATGTCAATTTAATATAAAAAAAATAAGTTTTATGTGGTAACTGACAAGTTTTCATTACATTTTTCATATTTAATAAGGCTAAGACTTTGCTTTGCTAATTCTTAAATATCCAACTACCAAAATTAAATTTATCCGGTATAAAATTTCTGGTAAAAATGCAACGTTCCCTCCCGTACTAATAATTAAAATTTGTTTTCATTTATATTTATTGTTTTGTGATAAACAGAATAAATAAATAAAATAATAAGAGAAATAAATATAGTAAATATGTCAATTGACCATGGTCCGCGTGCGAATCGTACACCTTATTCTAGCCCCAGTTATATAAAAGATTTCCACTCCTGCTTTATATAGTCGGACAGTTTGAGATTTGTATAATGAATAGATTTCTTACTTGTTGTTGAGGAGGCACAATAACTGCACTCGGCCCCTGGCTAGTTGATGGTCCTTGGCTAGTCGGCAAAACAGCTACAGTGCGCAATTGCATAGACATGGGTCGTATACTAGCTAAAGGGGTTTCGGTGCCACTTCGCCATGGTTGTATAGGTACTGACTGGGTTTGTATATTCGTAGAATGGCCTAAAATAATTTTCATGGTTAATGAACATTACAAAAATCAATTTAAAATTATTAAAAGAATAAGGGATCATCTTGTAGAAGATTACTGAAACATTTTTAATGAAATTTTAAAGTAGGCTGTCTTTATGAGTTGTTATTTAAGTAAATTTTTATTCATTGCCTGAAGAACATGAATCGACTTAAAAAAAAAAGTTCATTACCTGCCATTGGTTTGATATTAGCAGTAGGTGGCTCGTTCATCGACTTTTCTGATGGCCCTGAACTTGTACTCGGTTTCGACCCTTGTTGTCCAAGCTGCCGTTGTAATTGGTTAATTTTCTGCACCAATGCATCGATTTCGCCTTGCATTTTTTCTTTTTCTTGTTGTTTTTCATTTAACGCCTCTTCTTTTTCTTTTTCTAAGCGTTCGATTTCAGCCTCAAGCTCTGCAGTTTTAGTAGCTGATACATCTGTCGCAGATGCCGCAGACGATTGCTGATTTACACTGTCCGTTGCCGATGCAGTAGAAGCTTTTGGACGACCTAATTCTGCTTTAAGGCTGCTATTTTGTTCTGTAAGTGCCATAATACGGTCTTTAGCATTTTTAAATAATGTCTTGAAACGCTCTTCCTTATCCAAAGTTGTCTGTTTAAGGTTTTCAATTTCTCGCTTATAATTTTCGTTTTCTTCAGTAGCAGAAGCAACTTTTTGATTAAGTTCGTTAACACGTTCGTTATGAGCCAATTCTATTCGTGATATTCGTTCCTCAAATTCATTTCGGGTCTTTTCTTCACGCTCGGCTTGATTACTGGCATTTTCCGAAGTGACAGTTTCGGTTTGTTGTTTAAGAATTTCAATTTCTTTAAGCTGGTCTTCCCACTGTTGTTTATACCTCTTCGCAATCCTCTTAACAGCTGTAAGATTATTTTTGAGATCAGATATCGTAACATCTTTACCTGCAGTTTCTTCAGTCAGGAGGCGATTATCTTCAGACAATTTAGAGTACATTTCCTTTGTCTGCTCTAGTTCACGAGTAGCTTGATTCATATGATCCTTTAGTTGGTTGAATTCAGAGCGCAACTTTTCTATGTCATCATTAAGTTGAGTGTTTTGAGCTCGTTGATTACGTAATTGTTCTTCAAGCCGTGCTTTTTCTTGTTTAATAGTACTAAGCTCATCATTGAGTTTGGCAGTGTTACCTCGCTCCATAGTTAATTGTTTAGCGAGATTTTCACGCTCAGTTTGCAGTTTTTTCCAATCTTCAGGACTTGTTCTATTTGATTTTTCAATGAGCATATTAGCCCGTTGTCGCCATCTTGTCGCTTCACCTCTTAGTGTAACATTTTCGGTTTGCATAGATTCCGCTTTAAGAGTTAATTCACGGTTTTTCTCCTGAAGAGGAATTAACTGTTCTTCCAAATTCCCACATCGTTTTTTCAAATCTTCAATTTGGGCGAGTAAATTATCTCGTTCTACTCTAAGGCTCCTGTTGCTATCTGTGATAGCATTAAGCGTTTCGATTTTACGCAACACTTCCTCGTGTTTTGCAACCGTTATTACAGCTACTTCAGATTTTTCGTGTTGTGCAGCACACATAGCGCGCGTTTCTTCGAATTTCTTAGTTAGTGTCTCTAACTCGGATTTATAGCGGCATCGTTCCGCTTCAAGAATCTCGCACTTACTTACCGCTATGTCTTTTTCTTGGCGAAGGTATTTGATAATTTTCAGAAGTTGTTCGGATGATCTAACGTCATTTTCCGTAAAAGATCGGTTAAAACTAGAGTCAGCACCTAGCACAATAGAAAATAAATGTGTCTTTTTATATTACTTAAAACAATAAAACTTACCTTCATTCGAACTCTCTGTGATCTGTGCCTGCAATATAGACAATTGCGTGTTAAGAGCTTGTATTTGGTCAAGTAAAAGTGTATTCTGTGCTTCCATGTCATTGAATCGTGTTTCAAGCTCCTCTTTTTCTTTTTTAAAGAGAGCCTCACGTGTTTCCCAACTTTTCTTATTTGCAGCAAGTGCTTCAAGTGCTTCATCTCGTGCATGTTTTAGTTCACTAATCTCAGTTACACTCTTTGCTAATTCTTCCTTTACATTAGTTAGAAGATGCAAATCATCGGAATGAAGCATCATTTCACGAGCATACTTATTTTCTGCCTGCTCTAGACTTTCCGTTAGATTTCGAACAGAATCTTGTGATTCTTGCAATTTCTCTTTAAGTTCTGTAAGATCTTCATTTGCAATGCGCAGTAATTCTTCTGATTTCGCCAATTTCCCTCGAAGATCTAACGAGACACCATCTTGTCCATCAGACTGTATGGATAACTCTCCTTGAAGTAGAGAGCATTTCTCCTCCAGATCTTTGATTTTTTCTAGTTGTCTTTTAATATTGTCATTTGATTGTACTTTATATGCTTCAGCTTGTTCCATAAACTCTTTCAATTGGCGTTCCGCGCTTTCAGCAACATTGGAATGTTGTTCAACGGCTTCTTTAGCGTTCTTGAGTTGTTGCCGTAATGTATCGATTTCGGCTTGATTATCGCTGAGCATTTTTTCTAATTGGCGCGTTTTTTTTATGTCTAAACCACCGCTGCCAACAGACTCGGAAAAGCTTGAAACAAGAGATGTTTTTAATTTTTTTGTTAGTTCTTCGATCTGAACCGATTTGGCAATAAGATCTTCTCGAGTTTCGGTGAGTTCTTTACGCAATTTCCCTGCTTGTTGCTTTTCTTCTTCAAGCCGCTGTTGAGCGTCATGGGTCTGTTTTTCCAAATGAACACTTAGTTCACGGAAGCGATCCTGTTCCTCAACTAAGCGACGTCGCAATGCAGCACATTCACGGTGAGCTTCATCTAGACGCTCTTCAAGTCTGATTCGACTCTCAGCTTCATTTCTGGAAAAGAAAGGATTCAGGTTAAAATTATGTAACATAGAAATCAATATTAAATTCGTCCATCTTACGTCCAAATTTGAAAACATTCTGCTAACTGTGCAGGCGAAGCATATATGTATTGGATTGTTTTTCAAACTTCTTGACATTAATTATTATTTTATATCAATTTTATTGATACAGCATACAATTGCTTTGTTTGGTTTCTATTTTACGTATTTACGTATAGTGCGAATTTTCTAGTGTGTAACCACAATTTTCATAAACCTGTTTATACACAGGAGGTAACTGACACATCTTTTTTAATGAAATATTCTGTATATCTTCAGATATTTGAAATTCACTTTTTTTTTGATATCGAAAATACGTAATTGACATATATTTAGATAAATAATACTGGGGACAATTATAAAAAATAAAGTAGAAGTTTAATTATGACATGAGTTTCTTATGTGGAAGTGGCAGGTCTTGAAAAAGTATTTAAAAAAAACCTGACTACAAATTAGTCATCATCATAAAGTCGTCAGTCTTAAGAGTAGTTGAACACGTATCTCTACCCTTTCCTATCCTGAGCTAATCTTTGTATTTCCCTAAAACTAGAATATCCTACTTCTGTATCTAATTCTAATATGTCTCTGACTAGCTCTTCATGTCTGAGAAGGTGCCCTACCAACCTATCTTGCCTATTTCTTATTCACTTCCACAGAGTTCCGTTCTCTTATTTTTTCTAATATCTCTTCATTTCTAACCTTCTCTATCTATGGTATCCTCATCATTCAACTGTAACACCACACTTCGGACGCTTCTAACTTTTTTTTTCCGCCGTCCATGTTTTGCACCCGTACAGCATCGCACCCCAAAAAATAAACCGTTAACAATCCTTTTCGAATTCCTAAGTTAACCGTTCGCAAACATAAAAGTGACTTCTTTTTATTGAAGGCGACTCTATCTAACTTCCTAGTTACCGAAAATCAGCCACTTCTAATTTTTCGTCTCCTATCTTTATATTCGCTCTTTCCCTACTTTTTCTTCTCTTGCATGCCAGTATTTTTGTTTCAATTTTATTTATTTTCATACAGTACTATTTTGTCAATACCGATTCCATTTTAACTGAAGATACCTCTAAGTCCTCCTTATTAGAAGCTAATATTACTATACCATCCGCAAATCTAAGCATACCAATCTTTTGCCCTTGTATATCTATCCCTACAGTTATACTGTTTTAAATGATCTTGATTGCGTCTTCAATGCATAGATTAAAAACTAGCAGTGACAGTGTGTATCCTTGCCTGACTTCCTTCCTAATGTTTACTTCTCTGCTCCAGCTCTGTAACTGTATGCAAACTAAGTATCACTCTTCGACCTCTGTAACTCATCCCTACTTTTTTAAGTATATTTAACATCTTGTCCCATTTAACATTGTCAAAAGCTTTTTCTAAATCTACGAATCCTATGTACGCACTCTTCCCTTGTTCTATAGTTTTCTCTATTGTTACCAGTAAAACTAGAAAGGCCTCCCGCGTTCCTCTATTCTAAAACCAAATTGATCTTTCCATAATAGTTCTTCCGCCCTTTTCTCCATCCTTCTCTGTACTAGTTAACATTTTTGATGCATGGGAAGTTAAGCTAATTTACGTTACAGTATTACAAAACCCCCTCTATAAACAATCAATTGTTTACATAAATTGTTTTTGCTGTTAAACAATGTCTTTCTAATTACAAAGCCTACTATTTCCACGTAAGAGTTATGATGCAAGTCAGCATATACTTTATGATTTATAATTTTCTCCATTATTACTTATCTGAACATACAATTGTAGATTTTCAAAATAAAAAAAGAGGAAATGACATATTTTTGAAAGTATGCAGTGTTCACTATTATTCATTTTTTTAAAAATTAGTAGAACATTAATTCACCGTTTTAACTTTACTCAAAACCATAGCTAGGCAGTTCAGAAATTAACAACAAAAAATGGCATTCCATTAAAAAAAAAACAGTTATGCCAGTTCGAAGTAATTTATTTTGGAAGTGGTAGATTTCAATGAATTTGAAAAGAACTTGTTTGCGTTAATAGTGGAAATGGTAGGCTATACGTACTTTCGTTTCGAAGATATTCAAAATGGCGCAGAGCATTGCAACAGCCTATTTATTAATTTATTTCAAATTTTATGGAAATTAGTGCATTTAAACATAATATATGGTTAACAAAGTGGAATTTAAATTTAACGAAGAATTCAAAAATGTAATAATAAACGGAGCATTCTGTATAATCGAAAATAATTTTAGAATATGAATACAACATACGTTAAAAATTAAATGATGGCGTCCTCTGGGGTAAAGCACTCCGGACGTAAACTAGTCCCCCATTCGGATGTCCGGGCGGGGATTACCTCGGGGGATGTTATTAATAAGTGCAATAGGGATAGGTGCAATATTTCACGAGTCGGAGCGTGGAATGTTAGTACAATGAGGCAAGTAGAAAAATTAGACAATTTAAAAGTAGAGATGGATAGATTAGAATTAAATATAGTAGGTATTAGTGAAGTCCATTGGCCCGAAGATGGAGACTTCTGGAGTGTAGTTTATGCAGATATAGAAGACGTGTTATGTTTAGTGAAAGGACAGGAAAACCTAATAGTTTTAGCAGATTTCATTGCAGTAATAGGTGAAGGTAAAGTGGGTGCAATAACAGGTTCTTTTGGTTTAGGCAATAGAAATGATAGGGGAGGTAGGCTATACGTGGAAGATGCCAGGTGATTTAGGGAGATATCAGTTAAATTACATACTTGTTAGGCAAAGATTTAAAAATCAAGTGAAGGACTGTACGAGTTATCCAGGAGCAGATATAGATAGCGATCATAACTTAGTAGTTATGAAGACCAATCTTAAATTGAAAAAGAGGGAAGGTAGGAGACGTCTCGACTTAGAAAAGCTAAAATGTAACGTAACGCGTGATAGGCTAGGTAAAAGGACAAATGAAATACTAAAGGCGGCGGTACATAGAGACAGAATGGAACTGCATTAAAACGTGCCTAAAGTCAGCAGCTACAGATATACTAGGTCTTAAACAAAACGAAAGTAGAAAACCCTGGATAACAAATGAGATTGTAGGATTAATAGACGAGAGGCGGAAATACAAAAACACGACAGACAAAATAGGGGAAAAAAGATATAAAGCTATAAAGTGGGAAATAAGTGTAGGGCAGCTAAGGAACAGTGGATTGATAGGATGTGCAAAAAAGTAGAAGAAAAGTTTGAAGTGGGTAAAACCGATGAGGCGTATAATATAATTAAAATAAATTTTAGAGATGTAGGATACAGTAGTAATAATATGAGAAACGAGGCAGGGGTCATTTTGATAGAAAATGAGGAAAAGGGAGATAGGTGGAAAGAATATTTAGAGAACCTATACGCAGGCCCTGAGTTAGGAGATATATTAGAGAAGGAAGATAGTGTAGAGATAGAAGAGCTTGGTTATCCCATAATAAGAGAAGAGTTCGATGTAGCTTTAAAAAACTTAAAGAATAATAAGGCGCCAGGTGTACATGGGATACAGGGGGAAATTCTAAAACATGCGTATTTTTAAACTAGTTAGCCACATTTACGAGACGGGGAAAGTCCCAGAGGTTTATAAAGGGAACGTGGTAGTAACATTAAAGAGGAGCGCGGATAGGTGCGAGACATTTAGAATAATTAGCTTAATTTCCCATGCGTCAAAAATCTTAACTAGAATTGTACAGAGGAAAAAAAGGCGGAAGAATTATTAGGGGAAGATCAGTTTGGGTTTACCACAGAAGAAATAGAGAAACGCGGGAGAACATTATAGCTTTATGGGTGACAATAGAGAAAACGATAGAAAAAAGAAAGAGTGCCTACATAGGATTTGCAGATTTATAATAAGCTTTTGACAACGTTAAATGGAAGATGTTAAATATACTTAAAAATGTAGGGATGAGTTACAAAGATAGAAGAGTGATACTCAGTTTGTATAAAGAGCAACAGGCAGTTATAGAGCTAGGGTTGCAACGTAGAGAAGTAAATATTAGGATGAGTCAGACAGGGATGCACACTGTCACCGCTACTTTTTAATCTATACATCGAAGACGCGATCAACATCATTAAAGACGGTACAACTGTAGGGATAGATATACAGCGGCAAAAGATTAGAATGCTTAGATATGCAGATGATATAGCAGTATTACCATCTAGCAGGAGGACTTAGAGATAGCTTTAAATAAAATGGAAGCGGTACTGACAAAACAGTACTGTATGAAAATAAATACAAGTAAAACTAAAATACTGGTAGGCAAGGGAAGAAAAAATAGGGAAAGAGCGAATATAAAGATAGGAGACGAAAAATTAGAAGAAGTGGCTGATTTTAGATATCTAGGAAGTCAGATAAGTCAGGACGGAAGGAGTAGTAGGGATACAGAGGATAGCGCAAGGTCGTGTCGCCTTACTTAAAAAGAAGTCACTTCTATGCTCGCGAACGGTTGATTTAGAAATTCGAAAAAGGCTGTTAAAGGTGTATGTTTGGAGCGCGGCGTTGTACGGGTGCAAAACATGGACAGTGGGTGCGGCGGAATAGAAAAACTTAGAATCCTTCGAAATGTGGTGTAATGTAGGTGAATGAAGAGGATAACGTGGGTAGAAAAGGCTAGAAATGAAAATGTATTAGAAAGAATAGGAGAACAGAGGACTCTATGGAAGTCAATGAAAAATAGGCGACATAGGTTGGTAGGACACCTCAGGCATGAAGGTCTAGTCTGACATAGTAGAGGCATAAACAGGAGTTAGGAGGGGTAGAGGTAGACCTAGGTTAGATTACTGTTTGCAAATAGTTAAGGATATAAGTTGTTCTAGTTTTAGGGAAATGTGAAGTTTAGCTCAGGATAGGAAAGAGTGGAGGGACGTGTCCAACCAGTCTTAGGACTGACGACCTTATGATGATAATGATGAATACTTATATGGTATCACTATTGTAACCAACCCTTTTTTGATATCTTCGACTGTAAAGTAGTTATTGAAGAAACCCGCTCTAATTATATTTCTNTAACTTTACTCAAAACCATAGCTAGGCAGTTCAGAAATTAACAACAAAAAATGGCATTCCATTAAAAAAAAAACAGTTATGCCAGTTCGAAGTAATTTATTTTGGAAGTGGTAGATTTCAATGAATTTGAAAAGAACTTGTTTGCGTTAATAGTGGAAATAGTAGGCCATTTCTTCCACAAGCTATGTGTGAAAATAGTACCTAAGGCTATACGTACTTTCGTTTCGAAGATATTCAAAATGGCGCAGAGCATTGCAACAGCCTATTTATTAATTTATTTCAAATTTTATGGAAATTAGTGCATTTAAACATAATATATGGTTAACAAAGTGGAATTTAAATTTAACGAAGAATTCAAAAATGTAATAATAAACGGAGCATTCTGTATAATCGAAAATAATTTTAGAATATGAATACAATCATATGTTACCACTTTTGTAAAAAAAATTGTAGCTGTAAAGCAGTTATTGAAGAAACCCGCTCTAATTATATTTCTATAAATATTTCTTGAATCTTATATTTTCTGAATCTTATTCGTGAAAAATATGGATTCATGTAAGTTATTGTTATATCAAAATTTCTATGTTAAGTAACTTTGAGAAGATTGACTGTGACAGGTGCAAAGACGTATGACTATTTGTTGAGAGTTCTAATTATTTTTTTAAGGTAAAAAATCCTAAAATTAATAACTTCCACTCTTACCTTTCCAATGTAGCTTTTATTAGTTCGATATTCGATTGAAGTAGGTTTTGCGAATAGGCATCCCGCTTCAGTGCTTCCCGCTCTCGCGTTAGCCTCTCTTCTGCATCTCGAAGTAAAGCATTTTCTTTTTGCAAGTTTCCAAGAATCACTTCAGAGCTGGATAACTTTGTTTGTGCAGCTAACGTTTGTTCCCGTAGGTAATTAATCGCCTCTTCGTGCTTGATAATTGTTTCACTGTAGATTTTATTTTGTTTCTCGAGTTGCGCGATTTGATTTTTGTACACTTCGACATTTGATTTTATTATCTTGAATCGTTCATCATTTACATCTGACATAGATGCAAGTTTACAATTAGTGCGTGTGAGATCAGAAATTTCTTGCCGTTGTTTCTCGATCTGGTCAAGTAGAAGTTTCTCGTTGCATGCTTTTTCTTTACGATATGTTTCATGTTCTTCTTTTGAGACATCGAGAGCTTTTTTCAGTTTTTCTAATTGCGTTTCAAGTTCTTGAATTTTATCGTCAGCATTTGAATCATCATCGTTGGGCTTTGGACTCTGGAGACGATCAGAAACAAACGAACGTTCCAAATGCATAGGAACGTCATCAGTATTACCTGTAAATATCATTCTATTAATATGAATAATTATCCCGCACCGAAATAATTCTCACCTCTTAACGCCTGTGTGTAGAGATTTTTATACATGTCTCGTTGTCCAATAAGCATAGTTATCATTTTGTTTTGGCGTTCTTGATGTTCCAAAGAATCAGATTGAGCTTCTTGTAACGATTCGATTTTCATTTTCATTTTAGCAATGACAGCTGGATCAAAAGTTTCGGCTTCTTCTTGTTTTGCGCTGAGCTCGCGTACGAGTGCCAGAAGTCTCTGATTGTTACTCTGGAGTTCTGCTATATCGCTGAAAGTAACCAGACGTTTGGTAATAATGTCAGCAGAACTCACACTGTCACTCATATCCTGGTCTGTGGACGTAGATGAGGAACCGCCCCTCGACTGTTCAACTTCTCGCACCAAGTGACATACTTGACGGCCTAGATCCGCCAACTCCTTCTTTAGGCGACTGTTTTCTCGCTCAGCTAAACCTATAGAGTTAGTAAAATGTTTAAACGCTATTAACTGATATCCAGTTTTAAGTAATAACAAACGCGTTAAAAAGAAATACAAGCCTATATTCTGTAATCGAGATAAACAAATAATTCATCACATTTGAGTTGCAAATAATTAAAATTTTCTTATTTGTTGTGAGTTAAATTTTTTGTTATCCAATTTTTCTTTACCTTCGGCACGTTTAATATCAGCGTGTTCTTCTCGCAAATGTTGATTTTCCATAATGAGCTGCTCATTGTGTTTGGTCATATCAGCAATTGTTTCCAATGCCTTGTCGTAGTCCTCTTTTTGTTTTTTAAGATATGGTCCTTTGTCTTCAATTTCAGCAATGATCTGTTTTATATAAGATGTCAGACGCCTATTTTCTTCTTTTTCAAGCAGAAGTTCGTCAGAAACATTAACATACTGAGTATACATTTGTGTCATAGACATTCCACATTTTAGAGCCTTAGATGCTGCTGCCGCAGATGGTGCTAAATCTGTTGCAAGGTACACCTTTTATTAGTTTGAAAATATAGTCAAATGGCTAGTAGCAGTAATCTACTACTTATTAAATATATGTACAGGGTATCAAATTTTCGACATTTGTGGGAAGTATCTCCCTAGAGATAGAGGGTTGCGGTTTTCGCAACAGTTCGCTACTTTTTTGTGAAATTTAAGATAGCGCCAACAGAATTTTCATGTCGCTTCTGGTTTTTGGGATACAGGGTGGAATTGAAAAGTATCACTTTTGAGGCACCCCCCCCTTATCTCAGTTATCTTTAAACTTCTCGAAAAAGTTAAAACGCACTTTTATTGAATTTTTCGTTGAATCCAGTGGAGTTATGACGTTAAATATATTTATAAGTACATTGGATGTGTATACACCAAGGGCGACTAGCCCTATGCGTGGACTAGTACAGCTCACGAACTAACTTATATCTAATACCTAAATTTTCATGTAATTTGCATTTTCAAAATTATATTATTCTTTCACGAAACATAATTTCTGATCTATTTCTTTAATTTACATTTTCTGTTATTAACATTGATTCCTATTTAATATTCTATGGTATTTGATTAAATAATCTGACTGCAGTTACGTTAGTCATTTTGTTGCTTACTGTTTTATACCTTCTTGGAATTAGGCCAGTCAAAAAAAGAGCTGATTTTTGCCAAAATGTTTAACAGTGAACCAACGATACTAGCTTGTTCAGTAGATTGCTGTGAGTAAAATATCAAAAATGGTCTCTCAGATGTTGACCGTTTTTGTTTAAACAATGTAATCATTGAAATTTAGCATTTCATTTGTTCATTCGCCTTTATCTCGAGAAGAAAAAAGATAGCGAATAGATAATGTTTTGTTTATATTTAGCGATAGCTTATTAGGTACTAGCCAAAACTAAATGGTGAATTTCTGTAGGCCAATTTCTTGTATTATGACGATTGAAAACAGCAGCATTTAAAAAATAAGATTCATGAGACCAGATAAAGAGTTTGTCAAGAGATTCATTAGTATATGGAGTTGTTGAAAATACTAAATACCATTGACAAAACAACATTCGGCGCTCAGCATCGCCGAGGGGTAAATGTTGAACCAGTGGAATTTATGGAGTGACATTTTGCTTTTTGTTTCTAACAAATTAGTCATAGCCTATTAATTACTAATTGTTCACAAAAGAAAATTTTAGAAAATATTAAATTTTAAACTTGTTTTTGAAAATAATAGTATGTAACTCTATATGTTTGGAAAGCCCACATTATAACATAATAATTAGTATAGGGGCTGTTCCATTAAAAATACATGTTTGCGTCATAACTAAAAAACGGAAGGTGTTAGAAAATTGCTGACTACGCCACTGAATTCTATAGAAAAAAATCCATAATAATACGTTGTAATTTATCCAAAAAATTTAAAGTTTGAAGATAAATGAGATATCTCCAAAGTAATACCTTTCAATTCCATCTTATATCTTTAAAGATAAGGGAGATACCCCACAAAAGAGCCAAAAATGGGATACCCTGTACATTAATTTTCTTCTACTGTATTTACCTTCTATATCCCGCTGTAAACTTTCATCTTTGGCAAATTTCAACAATTCATTTGCAGATTCCAATTCTTTCTTTAAAACATCAATACATTCATTCTTTTTAGATATCATTTCCTCATTGGCTAATTCAGCTTCTTTATGTTTTGTTTCCAACTCTCCATACTGTTCTGTAGCATTCTTCAATAGCGTTTGTAGCTAGAAGAAATATTTTCATTTATTTATTTAAACACAAACAGCATTTTTTCATTGGTATATAATAATTACAATAACTGATACAAAACTCAAGCCTTGAAGTTTGGAAAAATAATTGCATGTACAACAAGGTAACATTATGAATTATTGTTTTAGAGGGGGTCCCTAATAATACAGTTGGGCTTATATAATTCAAACTTTTATAGCTTGAAATCTTTTCTAACTCGAGAGAACAACAGTAATATATGCAACAGTGATTCTTCGAAATGAAAATTAAAAAATTTAATGGTAAAGCAGAAATTTTTAGTAACTCGAATTTTTTTTTAATTTGAACAAAATTTATTCCATGTTGGAGGTTGACTACATTTACAAAAAAATAGAAGTGATTCCACTTTACTCTATGTAAAAATCATACACATAGAAGTAAAAATTAAAAAAAAATTCCAAGTACAATCAGTTTTTGATATTTTAAATTGAATTCCAGAAAAATGTGGAAATTAACTTTGTTTTCTTTAATCATGTAAACATTTACATTTCCTTATAAAACTTGTGAACACTTCATATACAGTTCGGCAATTGTTAAGAATAAATGTTGCATCAAAAATGGATAGTGTAACCTCGTAAATAATTTTAGGACGAGGACATTTTAATTTTTTATCATACTGTAATGACTAATGAGACTACAAATAAAATTTAAAAAACTTTACCTCAACTATGCCTTTAGTTAGTTCTTCACCATGCTTTTTACTTTCTTCACTCATATTTTTGTAGAGATCAGCCAATTTAATTTGTGCTTCAAGTTCCTGTTGATAAGACTCCAATGCTTTTGTGTGAGTATCCCTATCTTGAGCAAGCCTTTCTGTTAATTCTTCTACTTTTTCTGTTAGATTATTATTTATTTCAGTCAATGATTTTACAGACTCATTGGTCACTGCTAATTCTTGTATTTTACTGTTCAATTTAGTTTCTAGCATAATACATCTTGATGAATTATCTGTTCGAATTGCTAACAAAGTCTCTGTCTTTTTTTTTAGTTCATCTGTCAGCATTTCAATTTGACTATTTAATAAAGCTTTTTCTTGGTCTAGTCTTTTTTCCTTATACTCCAATGATAGTTTCAGAGAACCTATCTCATCGACATCGGCTAATGCTTCACACTTCACTTTAATAGCCTTTTCCAACTGATTCTGCAAAGTATCTAAATCCAACTTAAGCCTTTCTACTTCTGAATTTTGTCTTTCTAATAATTTTGTAAGTTTTTCATTTTCCCCAACTGCAAGATCCCTCTGATGTCGGAATTCTGCAGTTTCTGATTCAAATTGGTTACATTTAGTCCGAAGTTTTGTTATTTCACCAATACAATTTGATATTTGGGCTTCTAATTCAGTAATGGTTTGCTGGGCACCATCAAGTTTAGATAAAAGCTCATTTTTATCATGTTCAAGTTCATCATTCCTCTTTTCTAATTCAGATAGTTTTTGTTCTGAAACATATACATGTAATTTATATTAAAACATTATAATCATAATTAAGTTTATAGATAGATACCTGCGTTAAAGCGATTAGTTTCCGATAACGCTTTCGACGTTAATAATTCTTCGAATTTCTCTTCTACAAAGTGTTCAACTTTTTTTGCTATTTCAGACGGTATTTGCAGCCATTCTTTCTCCGAAATTACGGGTGCAAAAATAAAACTATCTTCAGTCTCAACCATGGTAATTAGTAATGCTTAGCACAAATTTTAAAACTACGAATTACACATAACACAGTAAAATTCTAAAGCAACTTAAACCACCACCACTTTATTATTTTCTGCGACCGCCATAAAGAACTGCAGCATAATACGGCACACGCCGGTTGATCAGCTTTCGGTTTCTTGCTCCTCGTTCATAGACAATTTCTTGTTGCTTGGTTTCTTCCAGTTCCTTGACGTTACAGATCATAGATATAAGTCTATATTCCAGAAAGGTTCGAAAAGTTAGCCCACCCCCAGATTTGTTTTTTATTTTTCTTATTTCAAGTGGCTCTAATCGTTTGTTCGTAATTATTCGTCAGAAGTAATCGTCTTTCGTTTATTTATAAAAAATTAAACAAATTGTAACTCTCAACTCAGCCCCTTGTAGAAAAAATATTTTTTTTTTTACTTTAAATCTATCAATTAATATTCAGTATCGTTTATTTGATTGTAAATAATGTTTTTATTACATTTTTTAACATTATTATTGAACCAGACTATCAATGAGTAATGCGTAAACGTCTATGATAAACGTCATGTACATAAACGCCATCAGACGCATTTGTAGATCTATTATCTATGCGCATAACCACAAACTGCAATGAGTAGAATGAATCCACTGATTTAAACATTACCAACATTACCAACAAATTGTGCCTCGTTTGCGGTTTTTAAATTGTGCATCCATTAGTTCTGTAAAAAAAAGGAAAATTGTTTCGGGTGCAGGTGGAAATTAAATGTCAGTTTGTTCAAAAATTGTTAAAGATATGATAATTTAATTAAAGCCAATTGATTGCTTGTAGTTTGTGCTCCAAAATTGAATTATTATCATCATCATCATAAGGTCATCAGTCCTAAGACTGGTTGGACACGTNTTTCGGGTGCAGGTGGAAATTAAATGTCAGTTTGTTCAAAAATTGTTAAAGATATGATAATTTAATTAAAGCCAATTGATTGCTTGTAGTTTGTGCTCCAAAATTGAATTATTATCATCATCATCATAAGGTCATCAGTCCTAAGACTGGTTGGACACGTACCTCCACTCTTTCCTATCCTGAGCCAAACTTCGCATTTCCCTAAAACTAGAACAACCCACATCCTTAACTATTTGCGAACAGTAATCCAATCTAGGTCTACAAAAGATACTTAAAGTTTTCGATGATATTACTATGATCATTTTATTATCTATGATTCAGCAATGGTGCACGCGTATTGGTAAATCAATGATAAATTTAGGGTGTGTTCCGAAATATAACCCAGCATACTATGCAGCATACTGGTCAGTGCTGATGTTATGAATCGGCGCCATGTTGTACTGCTGTGCCACCATATTGTACTGGTGAGACAAGTGTGTTGTAGTAGTATATCAAACAGATTAGTGTGTATCTGACTTTGAGGAATTTTTGTTGTAAGAAACTTTAATAACTTTTGGAGCAAAAGTGTTGTGAACGAGCAAGAGCTCTATATTTTCAATATGGCGTCAAAGCACTGGCCAGTATATTTCGGAATCAACAGTATGGCGTCGATTCATGACGTCATCAGAACTGGCCACTATGCTGTGTTATATTTCGGAACACAACCTTAGTATTAGTATTAGAAACATTTTCACTTTCCGTTTCGCAGGATCATGCCGGAATCTGCAGTTCTCGCCTTCACGACATCTGCTCCGGGAATAGAAGTAACAGTTCACGGTCTTCTCATGATTGGTCTGATTCGGGTTATTACTGCAAATCAAAATGTCTATTCTAGTACGGCGGAACACGACTTCGATTATGTTCCGTATGATCCTCCAATCTAGGTTGTCCAGTCCACAACCAAGTTTCGGAATCGCCAGCTTCTGTAGGTATTCTCTAGAAGATGTCCACGGAGTTCCATTACTGCGTCCCAAAGGTCTCTATAAGTTGGTTTATCAGAGCATTTTCCTTTAGTTACCAGGTAATAGATCTTGCGTCGTCCGTCAGGAGGCACAACAGTCTTCTTCCCTTCTGTACTTGATCTTCAAGATGTTCCAAACCACCAAATCTGCGTTTGAACTCGGACGCGATACCACGGCTCATTCTGAGATCCTTTGAAACGCAATGGGCCAGAGAATTTTCTTTTGATATAGCAAAGAGGTCTAGTCGGATTTCTTGCGTCATTCCAAATCTCCTGTTAACATGGGGGCCTTCCTTCATGAACTCTTCGAATGCGGGCTCGGAAGGAATAGTTATTAATAATCTGACCCGCGCCTCCTCTTCATTTGTACCGGCGAATGGAGCCAAGCGATTAAAATGGACTACCTTCGGCTTCCCATTTGGAGTCTTTTTAATTCGGTAGATCACGTCGTTAATCCTCTTCACTATCTCATAGGGTCCTTCCCAATTCTGTTGGAACTTAGGTGATAGTCCACGGCGGCGACGAGGATTACACAACCAAACAAGATCTCCAGTTTGGTAACCACCTGCTGTAGCATTGATATCGTAGTTTTCTTTAATCCGGTCAGGAGCAATCTGCGTATGCAAACGAACTGACTCGTGGATATCGTTACGTTTTCTTCGGAGGTTGGTAACATAATCATCTTCAATCGAGTCATCTACTGGTTTACAGCCGAATTTGGAGTCACAAGGTAGTCGTAACTCCCTTCCAAAAAGGACACTGGCAGGTGTTTGGTCAGTCAAATAAAGGCAAATAGCGGTCCCAGTCCCTTTGGTGATCAGACACTACCTTGGAGAGATATTTAATCAAGGGCCGGTTTATTCGCTCAACCATGCCGCCTGATTGTGGATGGAGTGGAGCGGTTCGGGTTTTATTTATTCCTAGGAACTCGCTTATTCCAAGGAATATAGCCGATTCGAAATTCCTCCCTTGGTCTGAGTGCAACTCCAGGGGCATCCCAAAACGACTGATCAACTCTTTCACTAGTTCCTCAACTATCGTTTCCGACTCCTGGTTGGAAGAGCACAGGCGTCAACCCACTTGGTAAAATAGTCCATAACGACAACGATGTACTTGTTACCTTTCTCGGACTCTGGGAATGGACTCACTACATCGATTGCGATTCGTTCGAAGGGGCCACCGTCATTGTACTGATGCATTAGCGCCCTTGACCTTTTCTGTGGTCCATTACTCGCGGCACAGGTGATACACTTCTTACACTAATTCTTGACATCTTCCTTACAGTTCACCTACTTAAATCGCTCTCAAAATTTTCCAAGCATCTTATTCACTCCAAAATGGCCACCAGATGAACCATCATGAAGATATTGCAACACCTCTCTAACCTTGTTTCGAGGAATAACCAGTTGCTTTCTATCTTCCTCTCCATTTGGACTTTCAACAACACGCTTCAGGATGCCATCCTCCAAAATCATTGAGTCCTACTGAGCCCATAACGATTTTATTACTTGGGTACAGGAAGAAATTTGCTGCCATGTTGGTCGTTTTCCGTCTCTTTTCCATTCCATCACCTTCTTCAAGTTCTGGTCGTTTTCTTGGTTGTGTTTTATATTTTCAGGTAACCACTCATCATTGATTACCGTGACGGGTCAAATTGTTTCTTCATTCATTTCCATTCTATCATACTGCTTGCAGTCTGTTACCGCATGTCGCTTCATCCCGTTCTTCCAATTCTCTTAACTCGGCTACTTTTAATTCGTACAACTTCTTTGCCATTGTAATGTCATTTACTCAACCCCACACCTGACACCAGTTGTAATGTTCGTGGGTTTAACAAAATTACTTCTAAGACTGATAAGGACAAGAACTATTTATTTACACTAATTAGTAATATATCAGTATTCACTGCGCTATTTATTTCACTTCTATCACTGTCAATTTATTTCTACTCTACTCTCGGCGATCGTCTCTTCCTTTAAATACCCTTTTCTTTTCTTTCTGGAACTCTCTAGAATCATCCGGATCGGCTTGTTTTTCTTTGAACTGTTTAACTGCTTTCCCAGAACGCAGGTACGACTCACACATTTACAAATACGGCGCACATGAAGAAAGGCTCCCGCGGCTAGTCGGCGAATCGATAAGCCCTCCAAACACGCTCGTGCTCGCTACAATGTTATATGTAATTAGTACTAACAACTACCATACTAGATCAGTCTCCAAGCTCAAATGACTTGCAATCAATTGGTATCAATTAAATTATCATAACTTCAGTAGTTTTTTTAATAAATTTACATTTAATATCCACCTGCACCCGAACTTTCTTTTTAACAGAACTAATGGACGCACAATTATGATACTTACATATTTAGAACCCGCAAATGACGCACAATTTATTGGTAAAGTTTAAATCAGAGGATTATTAATATATAATGTCATCCACAACTCAATGAGTCGAGTGATAAATTACAGATCTATAATTTCTAATCTATGACGTGTAAGTACAGTTTAGACCCGCGCACGTGTGTTAATAATATCATACCCGTTTGCACCGACGTTTTACTAAGACAGACTCAACAAAGTACTGCCTAAGCATAAGTCTTACTTAAGTTCCAATTCGTTTGCACCGTACGCTGTTTACCAACAACTTAAGTAAGTAGTGCTTAGTTGTCAATGGTTTAGCAACAACAGTAAAATTTAGCAATTTGTAGGGTTTTTTGTACAGAATGGTCAAGAAGTTTCCCTACTGATTGTGTCCGTTAAGCAAATTGTGGTGTCGTGAAGTGTTGTTTACCGTTTTTTTCTGCTGTTGTACGTTTTTGTTTTTGTGATTATTTGTGTTATGTTAGGTTTTGTTGTGTTTTAGTTTATATAAATATTAGTAGTAACTAGTATAGTGTAGGGACAATTTTCCTCTGAATTTCTTATAAATAGACCTTTTCCAACTAAAAGCAGTACTACGGGAGTTTAACCGTTAACGCCAACGATCAAAATGAATTTTTAAGTGTAATCTAAAAGTGCTTATTTTCATAACAATAAAACGTACTATTATTGTATATTATTAGTTCACCTTCTATTACTAATGATCGGCTATTGGCGTTCTTATTACTACTCCTGCTAAATTGTGTACATTTTCAAATTTCTAACATATCATCAGAAGCAAATTACCAAAAATATTAAAATTGAATTGTTCAAATTAATGATTATTGGTATGGTTTGAAATGAACAGAGAACAGCTTCTAGAGATAGATAGATAGATAATTAGCT